ATCTCCTTTAAGAAGTCTAAGAAATTCATATATTACTAGGAATGCAACACTCTTACTATTTTGAGGGAACTGTTGCAAGTCATGAGTCAATCAGGTAAGTATATAAATGCTCTGGCTTGCATTAATCTTTAAATAAGGATGGACATAATGTTATAAAAAGGAAAATACTCTTCTGTATTAAAATAACATCTACAATATTAGTGAAGTTATTCTGAATGAAAAATATTAAAACTTACATGGAGGTACTGTATTTTAAATTATGAGCTGCATTTTTACATAAATGGTAATTTATGTGAAGCTACATTTTGAAATTATGAAGTGTTCCAAGTATAAAAAGTGTCTTTGTGACCCAGTTGGTGGGGTAATAACTTAACAGAGCTCCACTGAATGTCAGCAATTGCTTAACAAACCAAGCTTTCAGGCAGCATTAAGGCAGGGACACTGCCCATATTCAACTCCTCCAAGTAACTATTTGGGGCTAACTACAATCTCAATAGCGTTGGAAATCACTCCTGTATAGTGTGTTCACAGGGAGGTAAAAAGGAAAATGCACACACAAAACAGTTCAAGTCCCTTGAAAATGTACCATTTCTTCAGTTCAGCTTCATTTACTGTTACAGTTACAGGAGATAAACCTTCTGAATGACAAATATACTAATTATTTCATTCAAAGAACTAAGTCAAAATGAATAATCAAGGTCTGTGAATAAATGTCTAGGATATAAATAAACCTAAAGAAAAACATAATCTCCTCTGCATCTGGCCAAAGCAAAGACATTTGTTTTTGGCTGCATAAACGGTATTTATAACATATATACCTAGATAGAGTTATGCTGTGTTTCAAAGATTGCAGAAATCACTCACATCTAAAATGAAAACCAGGCCTCTGGCATGCCCAGAGCCAACTGCTACTGTCCCAAAAGTAGCTCTTTTTTCAAGAGAAGAGCAATCTACATGTGTTACAGCTTCAGTGAGAATGTCATCTCCTGCGGCAAGGACCAGCACAGGGCAAGACAGTAAACATTTTAGACTGTGTAGTCAATTCCATCTGTGTAGAACTACTCCACTCTGCCTGAGGGTACTAATGCCACCACAGACAGTGTGCCAGCACATGAATGTGACTGCAGCCAATACTGTTTCTAGTTCATAAAGTTTTCACGTGCCATGATATATTACTTGACTCCTAATGTTTTCCATCCACCCTAAAATGTGAAGTCTGTTTGCTGGAAGGCCATACAAAAGCACATAACCAGGTTTCACCTTATGGATTTGGCCTATGGTTTGTTGTCTGTTCCTGGCTGAGGGGCAAACTGGCCTTCAGTTTTGCATATATACCACTAGGTATATAACATGCACACAGCATACTTTTCCTGTTAAGCATCCCTCTCCCTAAGCCACGGAAGCCCAGCTGCTATTTCTTTCCCATATCCAAAAGTCCAACAGAGCAATAATGAGGGCAGGAAGGACATGGAAAAACAGAATCAGCCTGGAGAAAAGGTACAAGCTCTTATTGCTCCCCAATGGCCTTGTGGGAGGTGTAGGACATCCCAAATCTCAACCGTGGCCCTGTAATGGGCTGTGGCACAATGAATGTATGGTCTTTATTAAGAGAAATCTGGAGTAAACATGAGCTGTGTGAAGACCCAACCAACAGTGACTTGGAAACAAGTCTGACACGATTACGGTGCTCAGTCTTGGTAGCAAGGGCACCTAAAGGAGGCAGGGCCAAGTCAGCTAAAGGTCTGGAAAAGCAGCAGCTACTAACACAATGGTTGCATACCACTTTTCCTATTTTTTTTTTTTTTTTTTTTTATGGTTTTTTGAGACAGAGTTTCTCTGTATAATTTTTGGAGGCGCTCTGTAGACCAGACTGACCTCAAACTCACAAAGATCCACCTGCCTCTGCCTCCTGAATGCTGGGATTAAAGGTGTGATCTACCAATGCCCAGCTAATTTTCCTAATTCTTAAAGGAGACATTACGCATAACAAAATAAACAGGGAACCTCTGTGTGGTAAAAGTGCCCGGTTTGCATTCTGAAGACTGTGAAAATGTATTTCAAATAATCTATATGTCATTAAATCATAAACACTAAGCAAAACAAGCATGAGTTGCATAAACCAACCATACTAAAAAGTTATACAAGAAAAGTAAAAGCAAAAGACAGTAAAGAGAAGGATTTACTCCATGCTAGACTGACTGAGGGAACTCCAGGGAAGACAGAGTGCAGGGAAAAGTCAGAGGAGTTTCCCCCCTTCCCTCCCCACAGTCTCTCCAGAGACTGGCTTTCCCCCTCTCCACCCTGTAAATTGCTGGTTTGCATCAGCAGATAGGGACAGGCCTTTTCTGTCTTCCTCGAATGCACCATAGCAAATTAAAGAGCTTATAAATGAACATCGCTGAAAAATACTAGTCTTAGCAGAAATGTCTGAAACCATTTTCTTCAATTTTGCTCCAAACTTGGTCTTTGCCCAATTTAGTTCATCTTTAAGAGCATACACTAGTCTAGATCCTGGTCTAGCAACCAGAAGCAAAGACTTGGCAGGAACATACTCTTTCTGGAGATCAGAAAGAAGCATCAACATATGAATTTGACTGATGAGCTCTGCCTGGGAAAGCTCCAAAAAAGATAATTCTGACAAATGCATCTAGGACAAGTGAGTACAAATGATGGTTTTAATTAAAATCTTGTCTACATTCTCTCCAGGTCTGGAATACAGGGGTGGCCAAAAGGCACTCAGGGCTGCACATAGTAAACCTTTCAGGTGCTGTAACAAGTGGGACATTCCCAACTGTTGAACACAGCAGAAACATAGTCCAAAAGCACATTCACTGTAACAGTGGGAAATTACTAGATAAATTTGCTTTCCAAAAACAAGTACTGCCAGAGAAGGGGTGAAGACCTGTCCCAGCTACTCAGTAAGCTCATGTGAGAGGACCACAGAAGCCCAGGAGTTCCAGAAAAACTCTCAAGAATGAATGGAAGGAGCTACTATCCTCTCGATGACATTATGTGTTGCCTCTAGGACACCTATTTATCTTGCACAGTAATTCTCAAACTGGAACCATTTGCCTATCAAGACACTGACTTCTAATGTTTTGAAGACTTATTTTGTTCTCACATTCAGAGCTGAGTGCTACTGGCATCTAGTGGGTAGAGGTCAAGGACACAGCTAAACTTTAAAAGTCATCAAGAGCAAAGGGGTGTGGCTCAAATCATCGATGGAGCCAAGAAATGTTGAGTGAATGCATTCCTGCTGTGAGGGAGGGTGAGCACACACTCGTGGGTGTGCCTTGTGAAGCTATGAAGACAATCTCTAGAATCATCCCTCAGGTACCAGCCACCTCCCGTTTGACACAGGGTCTCTCATTAGCTTTAAAGTGAACCCTGGGGACCCAAACTCAGACCCACACTTGTTCCACAAGTACTTCAGCCACCAAGCCATCGCCCCAGCTCTGAGTACACTTTTTACTGACTAGCTAGGGAACAATGACAAATAATGGGGGTCTGAAGTGATCGGAATTCTTCCCGATAAACTAGACAACTTAGATCTTAAAGAGTATTTCCGTATTCGTGTAGTAATTTTCAATTGGACTATTTCAGGGATAAAAGTAACCACAGCTAATAAGTCTGACCAAATAATATATCTTCTACATTTGCTACTTCATCACAGAACTTGTAAGATCATATATCTATGAATGTGACCAGATTGGTTACTCTTCTATTAGTACACACTGACATTTCCAACCTTCAGCTTATAACCTAACTCTGTGCCCACTTACCACAGAAACCAAGTCTCAAATGTCAACCCTGGATTTTATGTGGAAAACATTCGTATCTGAAATTCCCTTGAATTGATGTTACAAGCCATTAAAAAAAAAAAAAAATTGAACTCCAATTCCATGAAACTTATAAGTTGTCACAGGGAAGGGGCTGATTTTTAAGTACAAATTTAAAGGGAGCAGACTGGCACGGATATCCTCTGTAAAAAGTGAAAGGTGGCATCCAAGGGGCATAAAACACACAAAATGTTCCAAGGCCAAACTCTGAAATTAGCAAGCCCTCGAGGTTGTTTTCATTCATCAGTAAAATCTTATCTGGGTGTTTCCACAAAGAAATTTTTCCAGGTAAGTTTTTTACACTTTGTGTCTCTATTTGCATTTATGTCTGTGGTTTTTGAGCGTTGTGCTAAAACACCTTCGATGTGTGATTAAACTGAGTTCAAATTCAGAATAATCATACAGATTCAGATTTCCCTGTGACTGATAGAACAAAGACATACATTCCTGCAGCCAACAAAGCAAGCACTGTTCTACAGAACCAGGGGCTGTTAAGCCTAAGTTTCAATTACCCGAAGAAGACCAAAAAAAAAAAAAAAAGATAGCTACACAGACCAGCTGGACTTGTGCCAAATGTCACCCTCTGAATTGTAATCCCTAGGTGTTTGTTTGCTGGCTTAGGTTCCTGCAGAGAGGGATCTAACAAGTTATAGAAGAAGCCAAACTTATCACACCCACCCACTAACGGTACATCAGTCCATTTAAACCCAGGGCTCAGTTCCACGGAGTTGAGCCTGGGGCCCCAAAGTGGAAACCGCCCAAGATATCTCCTGTGCGATGAAGAGCCGCCGAGCAGCCAAGTCCTGCTTCGACAAATGGGCGGCAGGGCTCGCCTCTGACTGAACCCAGAAAGTTATGTTCACACGAACTTGGCTCCAACTACTAGTTTTAGTTCAGCTTCCGAACACAGGGCACGGCCAGGGCTCAGCGATGCCTGACTCCGCGTCCCCAAGGGGACGCGCAGGGGATCTGCCCGCAGCCTGGTCCCCAGCGCGGTTTTTAGGGACGGGGCGGGATGGCGGGTGCGTCCCGGGGCGCTGAGAAGACTGTCACCGGCCACCAGAAAGCACGGAGCCCCAACGGGTAGGTCGCCGAGGTGGAAAGAAAAAGACACCGGGTGCCCGCCAGACCCGCCTGCGGAAGCCGGCGCGGGCAGCTCACCTGCAGGGATGCGCGAGGGCGTCTCCTCCGCGGCGCCCACGCCTGGCGCCCAGGAGAGCAGGGCGAGCAGCCGCAGCAGCAGCCGCAGGCGCCCCGGCCTCACTCGGCGGCCCCCCATTCGCCCCGGAGCCGGACGGAGGCCTGCGGCGACGACTTCTCGCGAGACGCAGAGACCCGGGAGAGCGCTGGGCCGGACCCGGGCCCGGGGCGGCCCCAGCGAGCGGGCTACGCGGACGGCGCGGATACCGAAGCGGGCGGCGAGGACCGAACGGACCAGCGCGGAGGAGCCCGAGCGCACGGAGCGGACGAGGGAACCCGCGGCGCTGGCTGCGCCGGCTTAAGAGCGGCCGCGGCGGGCGGGGCCGGGGGCGGGGCGCTCCTCCCGGACCCCGCGTCCGTCCCGGGCCGTCGAGGTTGAGCCCCCACCCTCCCAGTCGCCTACGCCTACGTGCACCGCCTCACGCCCGGGCTCCCGGGAGCTCCTTTGCAGGCAGTGCGCCCCTCTCCCTCTCCCTGCGTTCCAGAAGCTTCCAGGGCGAGCCCTGCCCAGCCCCGACGCGGAGGTGAGTGCTGACTGTAGGGGTCTTCAGTCTGCTGGACTGAGTAGGAGCTTGTCACACTGCCAGCAACAGTGATGTGGATCCGTCCCAGCACACTGTTGCTTCTGATTATAGCCTGATCACCATGTCAGAGAAGGCCATGCTTTGGTTTTATTCTGTAAACAGAAACTTTTCATTGTCTGATGCACATTTCTCCCAGCTGCTAATGCCAGGAGAGCTGTAGACTCTTTCCAGTAATGAAGCTTGTAAATCCTGCAGAACCCATGCCAGCTTGTCTTACAAGATCTTCCCGCCAGCCAGACACATGGAAAATTACTTCTGAGGATGTAGGGGAGCCATTTCTGGGATCCCTGGGAGCCGCTTCCACTACTTCAGATTTTGATAAGTATGTCTATGCAAAGTCATTTTTCCTGTGTTTTCACACATTAGCCCAAAATACAAACTGAATTGTGTGGGGGCAAAATTTTGACAACTTCTCACACACTCCATGGTATGCTTGCTTCCTTAAAGAAGAATCAAGTTGACCGCATTCAAGAATCTTCTACTAAAATCTCCCCGAAATAAGAGGAGGAAGGAAATACTCATTCTAACTCTGAACTTTTGAAATTAAAATTACTCAAGTTCATAATCACGGGTTCTGTAAAATTAGCATAAAATCAAGAGGAATAGTGGCTAGCATAGTAAAAAAACAGGTAAGGCCGTTTATAAATATTTGGAATATGACATTTAAAGAAAAACAACTGAGACTAGTTATCACTGTGTTTTGAAGGCATTGGTGTGTCGTGACGTCTCTCTCCTCAAGCCCTCCTTTTTTAATAAAAAAAAAAAAAAAAAAAAAAAAAAAAAAAAAATTGGGAAAGTGTCCCCGAAGAAGAATGGAGTAAAAAATGAAGAAGGAACAGCTAAGAGATGGATTCTTTACAATGTGGGTGGCAGGTACAGCATCATGAATTCAGGCAGGGGCAAGCAGATCCAGCCCTCAGAAGAATGGCCAGTCTTCTGGAGAACTGTTTCCAGAATTCCAGACGTCTCACTGCAAAGTTCTTGAACTTGACTTCCTGCTTCCTGAACCTTTGGACTCCTCCATTTGCCTGGCTAGAACTGGAATGTCCATGTATGTTTAACTGTAGAGTCCACCAATCATTATTGGTTACTATAACATTCTCCTCTTCTGTTGAGTCTCAATGTCAGAACGTAAAAGCTTCTATAAAGTGAGTGTCTTTGAGAGATTTTCAGAATAGTCAGACGCTTCAGTCACAGCCTGAAAGTGTCCCATTGTGAAACCAAATCCTTCCAGCCATCTTAGGTTGCCAGCCCTGCTTTCTGCTGGAGATGTTTACTCCAGTATTCCCATGACAAACATGTACTGTCTTTAGCTCATCAAATTCAGATCTCACACACACTGTCTTCATCCTTGCTAATGATGCTCTAACTCATATGGCTTCAGATTAGAAGAAGAAAAAGAGGAAGAAGAGGGAGAGTGGGAGAAAGGAAGGAAATCTCTGCTCTCAATACACCAACCCAGAGAAATCTTACCATTTTCCTTATCATTTTCCTTATCATTTTCTCTGTGTCCTTCCATTCTTTCCTGCTTAAGTAACACACCCCTAATGCCACAGCACCAATTGTTTTCTCATTGACCAACTTTCCTGTGGCTGCTTACTGTCCCAAACTGTGTCACTCTATGTTATGGCTACATCCATACAACATGATTTTTCATCCCTAAACTCAAAAATTTCACAGATGTGGAAGCCATCATAACCCATTCTAGCCTTGGATTCAGATTATTCCACTAAAACATTAAGCCACCGCATTCTGTATCCTACACTTAATTGATTTGGCTTTGTCTCCCAAAGCAGGACAGATATTTTATTTTTACACTGCAAAGTTTGTATAGCAATCATTGACATTGTTTGGGTTCCTACATGGGCCAACCTTGACCAAAGGTTACAGGAAGAGTGTTTTATGAGGTGTCCAGAAGAAACTGAGTAGGTGAAGTTGAAGAAATCCCAGAAAAGACAACCTGAAGTGGATTCATTTTGTAATCTGACCCAGTGGGTGTGGCCCTTTGTCCATAGACCTGATGTGTAGTCTATGCCCCATAGATAACGCTAGCCTAGGTGCAAGATAGTGAGGCTATCTTCATTCTCAGTTCCCTCATTCATTGACTGAAGGGTCGTGAAACATTTCTTGCTTTCCATACAACCCCAGCATGTTATGCTCAGAGATAAGCAACCCACCAAGTAATGTGTAACTCTGGACTATAAGACATCCAAAGTTGGCATACTCAGAAATGGTAAGGTCAGAGGGAAAAGTTGGATAAACCTTCGTTCCTTGGTTCTTGTTACCTTTCTGTATGAAGTTACCAAAAAAAAGAAAAAGAAAAGCCACTCCTTCATTGAACTAACCAGTTCACATACCACCTTCTTAGAGACTCTGTATATCTTGTCCTACTACAAATAGGGCAGAATATTCAAAAAGTTCATATTCATGCTAAGTCCTTATCCAAGCCTTTTTCCTTTGTAGCCTTTTTTATTAGAATTGTGTGTGTGTGTGTGTGTGTGTGTGTGTGTGTGAGTAAAAACTTTATGGAGATTTTACTCTGTTAAGAAAAGATATTAAGTGTATAAGTATAATAATCGATACAGCAAAATCAGGAAAAGTAAAATCACAAAAGAGGAAAATTGCTATAAATGTAAGTAAAGGGTTCTGGGACAACATTACAAAGAACATATTGGATTGTGTACTGTGGGCAAGGCAATGCTAGCACAATAAACAGAAGTTCAGAGACCATGAAGTTAGGGAAGAAAGAGAGGCTAGTCTGTGTTTCCATACTGTAAGAATAGTAAGACAAAGCCAAAGAACTGAAGAGGAAGAGGCAACCAGGGAGCCTGCCTGATTCCTCCTCTGATCTGAGTGAACGGAAAAGGCCTGTGAATGTTTTAAACAGAGTTAGAAGGAGGTTAAGATAGAAGTAGATTCCAGATGTTAGATGAAGATCCAAGGGGCAGGTGATGGCGAAAACAACGCCAGAGACAATTTCAAGACTGGTGCCCAGGAAAGAGACCATGATGGTTTTAACCACATTGGCACTAGTAAATCAAAGTCAATTTCTCAGTAAGTTTTATTGTGCAGTAACAAATGTAATGGTCTGTGTATGGGTGTAAAAGAAAAACTGTCAAGGAATATTTACTCAGCGAATATTTGTTGAGTGAATGAGAAGTAATGCTCTGGAAACATACTTCATAACTGGGTTGGACAGAGGGATGTGCATTATAAGAAACAAACTGGAAGGAAAATAACCAGGAAGCCAAGAAATGAAATGAAAGAAAGCAGGCCTTGGGAGGAAACCGATAAAGTCAGACAAGCAAAACGGGTCCACAAAAGAGACGTTTGGGGAAAGGAGAGTGGTTTGAGTGGTCTGGATACAAGTCTAAGATCTAAACCTCACAAGGGCGCAGAAGCCACATGGTGGGAAAAGGGAGAAAAAAGCATAGCATTCCTTTATGACTGCGTCTAAACCAGGCATTCTGTGAGCACAACACAGTGCAGCCTTTCCCACTTAGGGATGTTTAAGTTACCACAAAGCTGACACTGCCCTTCAAGTATGAAAGGTTTGTAACATGTTCCAGAGGCCCCAGCCATTTGCCAGTTTTTCAAGCTGTAATCTAAGCAAAGATAACTTCCCAGGAGATTGTGTGTGTGTGTGTCTGTGTGTGTAAATATATACACATATATATGTATTTATGTAAATATATATGTACAAATATATATTTATATTTAAGATCGAATGTCTTTTCAGCCAGTAAGAAAAAGTTCAGTGAGCTGCTTAGCATATCAAATCCTCAGCCAACAAAGCTAGTTACTTATAACAGGGAGAATTTATTGATTTGTACTCTGATTTTTTACAATTTACTATGATTTCTTATATGTCATTGGAGACAAACATGTACTTTCCTATAAGAAATCTTTGTTCCCTTCCAATACGTTCAGATTAACTATTTTTTAAATCTTAATTACATGCTTTAGTCATCTTATATGAAATCTTCCCTAGGTAGGTAGGAGTGATGAAATCCATGTACATTGGAAAATGATGTCAGACATAGAACTAACTCATCCAAGTTAAAATAACAAAAGTAGGCCAGGACCAAAAGGAGAGCCAAATCGTGCATGGTATTCTGGGAAGATGATTCTAGCAGATGTTTTCTGACTAGTCAAAGTGATTGAGACAGCTCTGTCTGTGCTATGAGTCACCCCCCAAACCTAGCACCAGACATTTGTGGTGTCTGCATTTACCATCCAAGTATGTTTCACTAAAGCCCAGTGCTACAACATAGCTATTGACACAGATAACACTAAAACTCCATGATTGACCATGGGATACTGTCTCCTTTTCTTGTTCAACCATGGTTTCAAATTATTTCTTTCTGATTCTCTTCTTTTTCAATATTTGTGACAGTTGGGCTTTCTTACTCAGGGCATATATGCTGTAAATATGAAGATTGATTGGGAGTTGTGGCTTAGTCTTGATTGGGAAGGAAGCTGGGTCGTAATCAGGAAGAATTATTAAGAAAACATCTCTTAGCCAATGCCATAAAACTCTTAGAAAAAGTGTCCTAAGATTAAATTTACCTTTGATTTTTTATAATTTTTTATTTAATTTTATATAACAAAGTCCAATTAAATGAAAACAAACATTTATACACAATATTTGGGAATTTGGGCATCGTTCTTTCCAAGCTACTTCCTGCTGGTAAGGGG